ATATAACGGTATATACATTAGAACTTTTTACCGGGTTAACCTACTTTATGAGGATTTATTTGACATATATGCAAAGGAATTGACAAATGAAACCCACTGGGTTAACGAAATCCGGTTATATGTAAACGTACCATAAGTTTATTTTTAAATAAGTTACAGTACATTTATTCAGTTTGTTGTTGTTGTAGCAGCCCTATTGCTTTTACACAACGGGGTGAGGTGACAGACGTTGGCCGTTTCGTTTCGGATTGTAGACCCCTCTGTCGTGGAAACCTATTCAGTTTGTAATTTTAGTTGCTTTAGTCTTGGCCACCAGTGTCGGTCGGTAGCCTACATCATCTTCTTCATATCATTCATATACCCTGAGCTTTTGTATCCAATTAGGGTATATATAATTTGGTATTACAAAAATGTGTTGTTTTAGACCCTATGTTTCTTTGGACCAAATCCGTTTCGAACAATTTGGAGTTATTTACAAATGCCCGGTGCGCACGGTAATTCTCGAAGGCAGTAATCGATTTCATTTCCTTTTCAACATTTTGCTGAATATTACATTTTTTAAAATATCATGCGAATGGACTATACGATTTGAACTAATTTTTACACAATCTAATATTATAACCATGACTGTGTAATGTTAAAAATGGGACATATCCAGCAACTCCCCCAAAAGGGTGAACATTTTGAAACATTGTAAATCTCATATAGAGCGAACGGGATACACAAATGGGACCCATCGATCCACTCTTTCTGGTACCTCCCCCTAGTAGATTTTTTAAAAAACTGAATCTTTAGTAATGAAACTAATGCCCATGAAATTCTTTTTCATTACAATACAAAATTTAAGCTTGAATTAAATTTCTGGTAAAACAAAAAAAAAATACTCAGACTCTAAAAAAGCCGGCTCCAATTAAAAATGTTTTAAAAATATAGAGACTATGTCAGTCAAGGTATACTATTTGAAAAACAAAAGATAATTAGCAATGACAATGAAAGAATTCACAACAACAATAACACATTATGAATCAATTTATGAGGTACTACCTATTTGTGTTGTTCATGTCTAATATATATATATATATATATAATGATGCGTCACTTTTACTTTTTTCTTCTTTGGAAAATTTTCACAAAACCAGCCATTATTATTTCTAGCCAAACAAAGTAATCATAAATATAATGGTAAATTGAAATAAGTGTGTATATAAATAAGTGTGTAAGTAACTGGAGGCGGAAGCTATCAAAAATTACAATTAACAATATTTGCAGCAACAGGCAGCTAGGCAGGCGGCCGGTCACCAGCACCGACCACCATTACACCAAGTCCCAAAGTCGTTTAACCAATCTATTTATGAGAAATTTGAAAATGATTGCATCAGGTGCCTACCGCCTGATGCCTCAGTACGATGTACGTACAATTGTTCCGAATTGTTGTTTTTTTTTTTTGTTTTTTGTTCTTGTCATTGTTAGTTTCTTCTGCTATTGGAATTCAGGCTGGGGAAAAGAGGGTACATATGAGGGGTGTGCTATTAGATATTTCATCGACTGGCTGACTGGTTGGTTGGCTAAAAGCCAGACATTGTTTTTATTAGTTGTTGCTGTTTTTGTTCTTTTTTCTGTTTTCTTTTTAATTTTTTTTTTCGTTTTTTGTTTTTTTCTTCATCAAAAACGTTGAACTTGTTATACTATTTATTAACAGAATCAATCTAAATATGTTACGTTGTCGTATTTCTAGCAATACTTAGAAGAAGAAGCAAAAAAGAATAGAAAAATAACAAAACAATAAAACAAAAATGTAATCAAAATGTGCAATATGCGGAAATAATAACATCGGGTTTTTTTTTTCTTCATTTTTGTGTGATTTTTCTTGTAAATTTACAATGATGGGAACTGCCGAACACAGCAGCGCGTAAACATGCAAGCAGATCTAGAATGAGATATTTTATTTTCTTTTTATTCTTCTTCGTCAATCTGTATGAATGGAAATAAATAATTTTCAGGTTAAATGCCATATCAATATATATTTTTAATAGTTCCAATTAATGGAGAAAATAAAAAAACCATGTCAATAGCAAATCAATAGAAACATGCGGGGCCTTACTTTCAAATGAAGGAAGTTGTTAGGCGCAAATGACGTGAAATTCATGGAAGAAGTAAAATATTTGCTCATGTATGGTTTGGTTATGGTATGACATTGGACCAACGCGTTAAACTAATCGACTATATATCACCAGTACTGAGATTTGACGATGTATATGTCGTTATTCCTAGTAGAGACGACTGGAACCGGAGTAACCCTCCTCCGGACGGTCTGGCTTTCTAGATGGAATAAGATACAGGTGCTGGCGTCTACTGTGAAAGGCTAGGCCTTGAGTTTACCTACAAGCTAGATAGGAACTGTAGTGTTTTCCAAGCTGTAATCTTTGCGATTCGGAAGTCAGTGGAATTAATAAAAAGTATGGATGCAGAGATCGTTAAACCGGTGACTATCTTTGTGGAAAGTCAAGCGGCTCTAAAAGCCATCAAATCCTGTTACATTAAATATGAGGCCATCCTCAAGTGTAGAACAGTTTTGGAAGAACTTACTTACAGCTATCTGTGTTGTGTTGGGTACCAGGACATCGTGACATCATGGGTAATGAAAAAGCAGATGAATTAGCTAGACGAGGATTTCAATCTACAGATCTAGCAATTGACGGCTCAATCAAACCACCCATATGTCATCTTTATCGAAACTTTGAGGCGGTCTTTCACGAAAGAGCCTATGAACTTTGGCACAACGAACCTAGGTGCAATGTGTCAAGATCTATTTGGCCGACTCTGTCTACCAAAAGGACACACTCACTGTTGAACCTGAGCAAAGCTGAAATAAGAGTAATGACAGGAATCATTACTGGTCATTGCAATACCATATGTTATCTTTGTCGGAACTTTGAGGCGGTCTTCCACGAAAGAGCCTATGGACTTTGGCACAACGAACCTAGGTGCAATGTGTCAAGATCTTTTTGGGACCATGATGCTAGACTCTGCGTTGACGAGGATGAGACGGGGACAATTGAGCATCTCCTGTGTCGCTGCTCAGTCCTGGCATATAGACGGCACCAGACTAGTAGGTGCTCACTTTCCACCTACCCTTAGTTTCTTCTCAACAAAGGAACCTTCTCTAATCTACAGCATCATTAGAAACATAAAGTGGTTAGGTTAAGTGCAACATTGACACATAATATATCTTCTGTCCGATCTCTATAGCCATCGATAGTATATCATATTTCACTTCTCACACTTCCTTGTAAGCTTCTCATCTCCCTCTCTCTTTCCCCCAATCTGGGTTCTTGGTGGGTGAATAACAAATTTTTAGACATTTCTAGAAATGGACTATGTTTTCAAATTACCCCTATGGTGCAAAGAACGAAAAGTTCAACGCAAAAGCCCCACATAAGGGTTCCGGTCGATTCTTAAAATTTTATTGAGCATCTCATGGTGCGCAAAGAACAAAAAGTTAGACACAATAGCCCCACATAGAGGTTCTGAGGAATTATACAAATTTTAATGTACATCTCATTGTGCAGAGAACTAAACGTTCGAATCTGCCGAATATATTTTCCCATGCTATCTCAGGAGTGTGGATTTTTTTACGAATATTTCTATGTACGGTTGTTAGTAACAACCGTCCACTTGAAGGCTAATGTCCATTGTGATCATCCTTTTTTTACTTGCAAAGAGAAGAAAAGAGGGAGAGGAAGAGCAAGGATAAAAAATAGCGAGAGAAGGAAGAGCGGAGAAATGGTTATTTTGGTCATGTCAATTTTTTGACAAAGCCTAGGACCTGGTTTGGGTCTATTTTAGAGAAGAAGGCTAGATTGTCAATTTCATATCTTCCAAATGTCTTCTGCCAATCAGTGATGGACATTTACAGGGGATATGTTCAATTGTTTCTAGTTCTTCTTTGTCCTCATATAGACGACTGTTGTTGTTGTAGCAGCCCTATTGCTTTTACACAATGGCTGAGGTGTCGTTTCGGATCGTAGACCCCTCTGTCGTAGAAACGATAGACGATAGTAATCCTCTCCGCTCTTGCAGTGACCTGTTATGATCCCCACAATGATTTTGATCTCTCTCTCTTATTGTGTGCCAGCAGCGAAAACGTTCTTTTGCGAGAGAATTCAGGCCAGATAGATTTTGAGATTCTACAACTAGGTTCTCTCAACCATCTGTGCCCACTACCTCGCAATAGAACGAGCGTATTCTGGCAATGAAATAGCCAATAGGAGGTTTCACCGATTTCTCAATCGGAAGATTGGACGACTGTGAGCCCCCTCGAGCAAGCTCGTCGGCTATCTCATTCCCTTCAATGACACTTCAAGCATTCTTAGAAGCCAAATCATACAGACCCGAATTTTTTAAGAATAATTTCTTAAGCTTCATAAGGAGCGTGGATTTTTGTTAAAGAATAAAATAATGAATTATTTTCCCTATCTCCTATTTTAGTACCTTTGGACCTCATGGTCTTCTTCAAGAATAGCTCTTGGTATTCTATAAGAATACCACTTCGTTTATTTAAAAAGATCTCCTGGTCATCTCTAAGAAGACCTCCTGGCCGTCTCTAAGAAAGCCTCCTCGTCTTCTCTAAGAAAACCTACTCGTATTCTCTAACAAGACTTCCTGACCTTCTTGGTCTTCTACAAAAAGTCCTCTTGGTTTTCCATAAAAATACCTCTAGTTCAAACTTGTGATCAAGAATATCGTAATGAAATCTAGAACATGGCGTTTTTGAGTCACCGGTTTTGCTCTGTAAGAATATAGCTAGAAGAGGCCTTAAAAATAATCATAAAATGTCAATAACATACAGATCGATTTGGGGTTTCAACAATATTCCTAAAAAAACACAATTATAACTTCGATAATCCTTCATATTTTTTTAAATAAAACCTTCAAATACTCTTTTTCTAAAACATAAATTTTATTAATTTGTTGTTTTCGTTCCGTCTTTCCTTTTGCAGACTTCAAGAAGATCCACCAACTGGTGTTTCTGGAGCGCCCACAGATAACAATATTATGATATGGAATGCTGTGATTTTCGGTCCACATGACACACCCTTCGAAGATGGTACATTCAAATTAACAATAGAATTTACCGAAGAGTATCCGAATAAACCGCCAACAGTTAGATTTGTATCAAAAGTATTTCATCCAAATGTGTATGCCGATGGTGGCATTTGTTTGGATATTTTACAAAATCGATGGAGTCCCACATATGATGTATCAGCTATTCTAACTTCAATACAGGTAAGTCAGATAAATGTTTTTATAAATTGGATTGTAATGTTAATTGAGTTGTTTTTTCCTTTCTTTTTTAGTCATTATTGAGTGATCCAAATCCTAATTCGCCAGCTAATTCAACAGCTGCCCAACTTTATAAGGAAAATCGCCGAGAATATGAGAAACGAGTGAAAGCTTGTGTAGAGCAAAGTTTCATTGACTAGCCATCCGCCGCCGCAGCCGCCGTTAAAGCCTTTAATTTAATAAAAATTAATCTTAAACAACAAAAACAACAACCATTTCACCTGGAGTTCATACTCACAATCATTTCCGTTTTATAAAAAAAAACACATACAAAGAAATTAAAAAGAAATAAATCTGTATTTGCCACAACAATTAAAACTAATCCCTCCTCCTCCACCTCTATTCTTGTTGCGCTCCCCCATATTTGAAAGCAAAAAATTAGAAAGAAAGAAAACAAATTACAATACTCCAAGCAGTGGAAGAATATCCAACAGCAGAATTAAAAAAAAATCAAATTATTGTAGTGGTTTAAAATACACACACACAAACATTCAGAGACACACATCCAGAGACCCAGAATTGTTGAATAAACACAAAAAAAAAGAAAATAAAAATTATTTTAAATTCTATAAAAAAAACAATAACTTAAAAAGTAAAAAATAAGAGAAATTATAAAAAAAACATTTTTAAAGAAAAAAAAAAACAAAAGTATCCAATTGAAATTAGGCTTTATTTTTATTTAGAACTACCATGGTTTTTTCTTCCAAACCAAATCCCCCAAACCGCCATTTTTTTCTTTTCCTAAATATAGCAATAATTAATTAATTATTATTAATTATAATGTGGTGGGAAGCGATGTGATGTGAGCAGAAAATACATTGTTTTAAAATATGCAAGAACAGGAAATAAACAAAAGAAAAACAAAAACAAAGTAGGAAGAACAACAAGTAATACATATAAATAATACAAATCATATTAAACTTCCCATATAACCCTCTCCTACAGAGACAACTGTAAAAACAAAGAAACTTAAATCAGCAACAAACAATCTTTTTAAAACTCCAAACTCACACACTCACATCTCTTATAAAATTACATTACATACGAAACAAAAACAAAAACAAAAAAACAAACATAAAATTATTAATGTTTAAACAACAACTCCAAAAAGGAAATAAGAACCTCCTCTTTGTTTTGGTTCCTTTTGTACCCCTTTCCCCATAACACAAGAAGAAATTCAAGTAAAAAAAAGAATATATATAGAAAACAACAACACAATCCGCAAAGTAACAACAATTTTTAAATAACTTTGTTTATTTTTTTCTCTCTTAGCTTTAGTTCTCAATGATCTGATGATTTAGATATCGTTAAAATTGTTCTCTCAAAAAACCAGCAACAACTCTGAATTATTTTTTTTTATTTTATCTCCAGCATTTAGTTTTTTTTTGTTTTATATTTTAACTTGTTTTTTTATTTTGTTTTTAGTTTTCACTTTCTCTCTCTTATCTTTTTTTTTCTTCCCTTCACATCAATGAATGAACTATTTTCCTAAGCGTTTTAGTTTTTTTCACTCTACTTCTATTTTTTTAAATTATTCTCAATCTTAATCTTAGAATTATGTTAAAAGTAAATTTATAATTACTACTATTATAAATGTAATTAAAAAATAATAATAATAAAATAAAATCTGAAGCAAAGCATTATTAAATTATATGGTAAACACACAAATTGAGAATAAAAAATTATTTATATTTGGTATGGGCGGGAGGTATGGGTGAAGCTAATTATCAAGAAGATAATTGCGGGTATGCTGTGATTAATTTCTCTTTGCTAAAAGAATAATTTTATCGGAACCAGCCTGTGATACCAATTGTAAAACCATTGTAGTTTTCAATTTAAAGTACAATCGGATCTATTTGCTACCACTTGACCACATCCTACATTTTACAGGGAACACATTTAAACAAATCTTCTCCGTTGGACCAACTTTTAGAAATATTTTAAAAAATCTACGCCTTTGGGTTAAGGTTGATCCCTATATTTTTTTTAATCTTTTAAAAATTAAAATATATACACTTTGGATTAATCTTTAAAAATATTTTTTGAAGGTTTAACCAAAGGCTTATATTTTTCAAAAATGATTTTAAAAATTAAGCCCTATGGTAAATAGGTTAGGTTAGGGTTAGGTTTGGGGATGTGCAGTCACTTATGTGGCTGCAGCACTCTGAGACCGCTAGGTCCATTGTGATCATCCACGAGAAGAAAACAGATAAGGAAAGATCTGTAGGGGAGAGAAGATTGGGGAAATAAAGGGAGATGAGAAGCTTACAGAAAGATATAAAAAGGTAAGAATGGAATAATCAGACAGAAGATGTGTTACGTGTCCAGGTTGTACTTTCCTAACCACTTTAGGTTTCTATTCGTTTTGTTTATGGCGGTACCAAAACCTTTGACTACCTCGAAGCTGTAGTTCTGAGGTCCAAAGTTGGTCTACTTGACGTTTTGCGCGTTGATACCATTAGCTTGGTCTTCTCGCCGTTTACTGCCAGACCCACTTTGGCAGACTCCTTCTCCAAGGTGGCAGTTACCGCTTTCAATGTTTGACCCATTATGTCGATGTCATCGGCGTAGGCGAGTAACATGTGTTGTTTGGGTGTACAGAGTGCCATTTCTGTTCACCTTTGCGTCTCGTATGACCTTTTCCAGCAGGATGTTAAAAAGATCACAGGATAAACTATCACCTTGTCTGAATCCTCGTTCGGGCTCCGAGAGGTCCTTTCCGACATTAACTGCTGATCTTGTGCCACTCAAAGTTATCCTGCATAGCCGTATTTTGCAGGAATGCCGAACGTAGATATGGCTTTAAACACCTCTGAACGGATAAGGCTGTCGAATGCGGCTTTATAGTCGACGAATAGGTGGTATGTGTCGATGTGTTTGGTCAATGGTGGATTTGTCAGGTCTGAAGCCGCATTGGTATGGTCCAATAATGTCATTGGCCATTAACTTCAATCGTTCACACATCACACTGGATAGCACTTTATATGCGATTGGAAGAAGGCTAAATCCCCTATAGTTGGCATATATCGTCTTTGTGCACGGAACATAGGATGCTGTGGTTCCACTCATTGGGCATGCATTCTTCTAGCCAAAATGCACTAATCAGCTGATACATGCTCCTGACCATCAATCTGACCACCAGTCTTGAATAGTTCGGCTGGTAACCCGTCGGCTCCTGCTGCTTTATTGTTCTTGAGCCGATTTATTGCTTTTATGACCTCATCTTGGCTAGGTGGTATACACTCTATACCATCTTCTCTTATTGGTTCTGGGGTATCTTCTTCAACGCCTCTATTTGATACCAGAAGCTTTTCAAAATGCTCCTCCCAGATCCTCAACACACTGTCTGTATCTGTCGGTCACCAGGTTTCCTTCTTCATCCCCACAGGAGGATGTGCCTGCACCAAAACCTTCGGTTTGGTGTTTTACTCCTTGGTAAAATTTCCGGACTTCATTCTGACTCCTGTACATTTCGATTTGCTCACGCTCACGTTTTTCTTGTTCTTTTTTTTTTTTGAAAACACGTTTCTCCTCTCTCCTTTTCTCCCGATAATTCTCCATCACATTATGTGTTGCTATTGTCTGAAGGGTTGCCCTATACGCTGCGTTTTTCAGATCAGTAGCATTACGACACTCCTGATCGTACCACGGATTTCTTGATAGTGGTCTTTGGTAGCCAAGTGTTGCTTTTGCTGCAGTTTGTAGGGACTGGGCAATTCTTTGCCTTTGTGCTTCTATACTATTATCGGGACAAGAAGTGCTTTCGTCATGTAGGTGGGTAAGTTGAGCGGAGTAGGCCTCGGCTACCAGTTGTGTTTGCAGCTTTTCGACGTCAAAATTTCCGTGTTACATTAGATCGCACCTTTGTTGCAACATTAAGACGAGTGCGAACCTTGGATGCAACAAGGTAGTGGTACGAATCGGATCGACCGAACGTCTACTACACTGGATGAATGTCTTCCGTCTATCACAACATGATCGATTTGATTTCTCGTTGCTTGATCAGGAGATGTTTCTTCATGAAGGCTGAATTTTTCAACGGTAGGGCCAAAATGAAAAGATTTCCACCATTTACCTAAAATCGGGAGAAACTATATGTGGGAGCTATATCTAAATCTGATCCGATTTTCATGAAACTTAGCACACATTATTATAGACGCAATTCAGTACGCTATGCCAAATTTTGTGCAAATAGAAAGTTATAGAGGGTCTTTGGTGCACCAATTACCTTAATTTGGATGAAAATATATATGGGAGTTATATTTAAATCTGACCCGATTTTCACGAAACTTTGCACACATCATTCTAGACCTTATTCCATACGCTGTGCCAAATTTCGTACAAATCAAAAGATTTTCAGGGTCTTTAGTGGAATATTTACCTAAAATCGGGCGAAATTATATATGGGAGCTATATCTATATCTGAGCCGATTTTCAGGAAACTTAACACACATCATTCTAGTCCTAATTCATTACGTTGTACCAAATTTCATTCAAATCGAAAGATATATAGGGACTTTGGTACACCATTTACCTTAAATCGGACGAAGATATATATGGGAGATATATCTAAATCTGAACCGATTTTCACGAAACTTTACACACATCATTCTAGACCTTATTCCATACGCTGTGCAAAATTTCGTGCAAATCGAAAAATATATAGGGACTTTAGTACACCATTTACCTATTTATTGGCCTTGGAGGCTTTAGTGTTAAGGAATGAATTTCAATAAATGAATAAAGAAATAAATAAATCGGACGACAATATATATGGTAGCTATATCTAAATCTGAACCGATATTCACTAAACTTAACACACATCATTCTAGGCCTAATTCATTACGCTGTACCAAATTTCGTGCAAATCGAAAGATATATAAGGACTTTGGGTCACCATTTACATTGAATCGGACGAAAATATATATGGGAGCTATTTCTAAATCTGAACCGATTTTCAGGAAACTTAACACACATCATTCTAGGCCTAATTCATTACGCTGTACCAAATTTCATTCAAATCGAAAGATATATAAGGACTTTGGGTCACCATTTACATTGAATCGGACGAAAATATATATAGGAGCTATAGCTAAATCTGAACCGATTTTCAGGAAATTTAGCACACATCATTCTAGGCCTAATTCATTACGCTGTACCAAATTTCATTCAAATCGAAAAATATATAAGGACTTTGGTTCACCATTTACATTAAATCGGACGAAAATATATATGGAGCTACATCTAAATCTGAACCGATCTAAGCCGATTTTTTCCAATTTCAATAGGGTTCGTCCTTGGGCCAAACAAATGAACCGTGCCAAATTTCATCCAAATCGGATCATAAATGCGACCTGTTTACAATTTAACATGGACAGACGGACGGACGGACGGACATGCATAAAACGACTCAGAAAGTGATTCTATGCATATTCTCAAAAGGAACAATGGGTCTATCTGTATTATTTTTGCCTGTTACAAACATATGCACAAAGACATAATACCCTGTACCACAGTGTGGTGAAGGGTATAAAAACAACTTCGTTATTTTATTTATATAATATAGTTTTTATTGTATTTATTAAATTGTAAATTGGTATTTCGTTTTTGTTTTCTTCACTCTTAATCCGAATAAATTTTTGTTAGTTTTATTTTAGCATTAAAAAAATAGCCCTATAAGATTACATACAATAAAAAAATAATACTTAACTTTTCTATTAGAATGAATGAAAAAAATAGTGTTTGGAAGAAACAGAAAAAAATATTTAAAAAAAATTAATTGATTTATACTAATTTCATTTTCTTTGATTATCGTTTTTAAGGCTTGGATTTTTTTTTCATTGATATATAGATGTTTATAAAATATATAAGTATACACTATATTTGTATGTATGACAAGTTGAACTTAATATTTAGAAGACATTTAACAGATTACCATAGATTGATATTTATTTTTATATTTAATTATATATTTTTTATATTTATATATATGCAGATTTTGAATAAAGTACATACGTATACTTGTAGTTAATTAGTAGAGTTTAGATATTGCGATACGATTAATAATTAAAGATTTGGACTGGTGTTGGACTTTTAAAGTACTTTTGTTTGATTTTTAAGCAAGTTTATATAAATGATTATAATTATTTTGAATAAAATATTTACACATAAAAAAATAAAAACAAAGGAAAGAAAAAAAAAACAATAATTAGAATTTAGAATATGACATTTTCAAACATAACCTCAAAACATTCACATTGTTTTTTTTCACTTGACATGTGTTAACAATCTCGTTCTTTTTCTTATTTATTTATTTATATGTATATGTGTAAATATTTTTGTATAACATTTTTTTTTTCGTTTAAAAAATATATATGTTTTTATTTTTATTTTTATTTTTGAAAAATACTTCAAGGCACTTTATTTTCTCTAAGATGTAGGTATTTTCTTGATTTAGGTACATATTGGATGTACATCGTTTTGGGTTTGGATCTTCCGTGATGTTTTTTAAACATTGGAGACTTAGTTTCATTTCAGGTTTTCGTGTATTCGTTGAAGTTTAGGGATGGAAAGTCCATATATATATACCCCGTTTCTTAATGATGGCCGGAGGCGTGAATGTTTTTGAAATCTTGAGTCTGGGTGGTACTGCGCAGCACTTCTAACCATCTGCAAGGGGGAGAGAGAAAAAAATATAAAATTAGTATAATTAAAATATGAATCCTTAGAGAATTATTTCTTAAAAAATTTGCACCTTTGATTGAGGCTTTAAAAATATTTTTTAAAAAAATTTACCCCTTTGGTCAAGACTTCAAAAATATTTTTAAAAAAATCTTGCCCTTTTGTTAAGACTTCGAAAATATTTTTAAAAAATCTACGCCTTTGGCTGAGGTTTTAAAAAATATTTTTAAAAAATCTACGCCTTTGGCTGAGCTTTAAAAAATATTTTTAAAAAATCGACGCCTTTGGCTGAGGTTTTAAAAAATATTTTTAAAAAATCTACGCCTTTGGCTGAGGCTTTAAAAAATATTTTTAAAAAATCTACGCCTTTGGCTGAGGCTTTAAAAAATATTTTTAAAAAATCTACGCCTTTGGCTGAGGCTTTAAAAAATATTTTTAAAAAATCTACGCCTTTGGCTGAGGCTTTAAAAAATTTTTTAAAAAATCTACGCCTTTGGCTGAGGTTTTAAAAAATATTATTCTTATAGGCCTTTAAAAAATCTACGCCTTCTTATAGGCCTTTAAAAAATCTACGCCTTCTTATAGGCCTTTAAAAAATCTACGCCTTCTTATAGGCCTTTAAAAAATCTACGCCTTCTTATAGGCCTTTAAAAAATCTACGCCTTCTTATAGGCCTTTAAAAAATCTACGCCTTCTTATAGGCCTTTAAAAAATCTACGCCTTCTTATAGGCCTTTAAAAAATCTACGCCTTCTTATAGGCCTTTAAAAAATCTACGCCTTCTTATAGGCCTTTAAAAAATCTACGCCTTCTTATAGGCCTTTAAAAAATCTACGCCTTCTTATAGGCCTTTAAAAAATCTACGCCTTCTTATAGGCCTTTAAAAAATCTACGCCTTCTTATAGGCCTTTAAAAAATCTACGCCTTCTTATAGGCCTTTAAAAAATCTACGCCTTCTTATAGGCCTTTAAAAAATCTACGCCTTCTTATAGGCCTTTAAAAAATCTACGGCTTCATATAGGCCTTTAAAAAATCTACGCCTTCTTATAGGCCTTTAAAAAATCTACGCCTTCTTATAGGCCTTTAAAAAATCTACGCCTTCTTATAGGCCTTTAAAAATCTACGCCTTCTTATAGGCCTTTAAAAAATCTACGCCTTCTTATAGGCCATTAAAAAATCTACGCCTTCTTATAGGCCTTTAAAAAATCTACGCCTTCTTATAGGCCTTTAAAAAATCTACGCCTTCTTATAGGCCTTTAAAAAATCTACGCCTTCTTATAGGCCTTTAAAAAATCTACGCCTTCTTATAGGCCTTTAAAAAATCTTCGCCTTCTTATAGGCCTTTAAAAAATCTACGCCTTCTTATAGGCCTTTAAAAAATCTACGCCTTCTTATAGGCCTTTAAAAAATCTACGCCTTCTTATAGGCCATTAAAAAATCTACGCCTTCTTATAGGCCTTTAAAAAATCTACGCCTTCTTATAGGCCTTTAAAAAATCTACGCCTTCTTATAGGCCTTTAAAAAATCTACGCCTTCTTATAGGCCTTAAATAAAAAAAATATTTTTAAAAAATCTACTCCTTGTTAAAGGCTTTTAAAATATTTAAAAAATCTAGACCTTTAAAAAAATCTCCTCCCTACTTACCTATTATAGGTGTGTATACTTTCGGCCCTAAAGAAATACACATGATTTTTAAATGACAACTTGAATACGAATTCTTTTTGGACAGCATCTTGAACGCCCGGTGGACCGACTGTATAACCCAATAGCGGCAAACTGGCCAATGCCACCTCATCTTGATACGACTTATAGAAATACAAACAGAATGAGGTGAAGACAACCCACAGTTTTTGCCAACCGCTGGAATTTTTAAATTTACGCAACAAATAACCGGAAAGTTGATTTTCGGCCGAGATGAGATGATCGCCCAAACCGACGGTAGCGCCACGATGCCAACATACGTGTGTGGCCGTATTGCTTCTTGATGGTGGTGTTTTGTTTTGCTGCTGTGCCTGTTGTTGCTGTTGCAGTAGTTGTTGGGCGGTCAGCGTCGAATTGCCGTTCGTTAAACCTAACAGATCGAGACCTTCTTCGGATGAGGCTAAAGGGAGAGAGAAATGAAGAATTATTAGAAAAACCAATAATTAAATAGGTGGAAATTTATTTAAAATCATATGGACGAGATATGTATTTTTGTTATCCTACCAAGGACCAAAGGAAAAATTGCACACCTTCCCTACCGGACCAAATAAAAAAATCGATAGATAATTCATATAGAAGTTAGTATGTCGAACCAAAAAAAAAACATTTTTTTAATCTATGCCTTGGGATGAATCTTTAAAAAATCTACGCCTTGGGATGAACCTTTAAAAAATCTACGCCTTGGGATGAACCTTTAAAAAATCTACGCCTTGGGATGAACCTTTAAAAAATCTACGCCTTGGGATGAACCTTTAAAAAATCTACGCCTTGGGATGAACCTTTAAAAAATCTACGCCTTGGGATGAACCCTCAAAAAATATTTTTAAAAAATCTACGCCTTGGGATGAACCCACAAAAAATATTTTTAAAAAATCTACGCCTTGGGATGAACCCTCAAAAAATATTTTTAAAAAATCTACGCCTTGGGATGAACCCTCAAAAAATATTTTTAAAAAATCTACGCCTTGGGATGAACCCTCAAAAAATATTTTTAAAAAATCTACGCCTTGGGATGAACCCTCAAAAAATATTTTTAAAAAATCTACGCCTTGGGATGAACCCTCAAAAAATATTTTTAAAAAATCTACGCCTTGGGATGAACCCTCAAAAAATATTTTTAAAAAATCTACGCCTTGGGATGAACCCTCAAAAAATATTTTTAAAAAATCTACGCCTTGGGATGAACCCTCAAAAAATATTTTTAAAAAATCTACGCCTTGGGATGAACCCTCAAAAAATATTTTTAAAAAATCTACGCCTTGGGATGAACCCTCAAAAAATATTTTTAAAAAATCTACGCCTTGGGATGAACCCTCAAAAAATATTTTTAAAAAATCTACGCCTTGAAAAAATATATTCCTGTAAAAACTATTTTAAAAAAATCCGCCCCTTTGTTTTTCCTTTAAAAATCGATGCCTTCGTCAGAACTATAAAAAATATATTTGAAAAAAATCTACTTGGTTTTGATAGTCCACGGATCGAAATGACAGATGACTGATCCTCAATAAATGCATTCTAAAATTCCAAGCCACCTTGAACATTTGCCGGAGCATTGCAACGTTGACGGAACACTTGCAATTTCATGTAGAGGGAGGTAAGGTAATTTACAAAGCATTTCTTACTTGGCATTACATTGTCCTTTTCTTGGCAGCCAGAAAGAAGAAGAAGCAATACAAAAACACAAATCATAACTTCAGACAACCCTAAAGAAAACAATTTCGAAATACTCACTGCAATTTTTCAAATTTGTCAAAGTCAATTGGGTGTGAGGTTTATTTTTGATATCCGCTGCTGCTTTCGATAATTCCGCCAACCATAGGGTTTTCTCGGCCGTCGTACAGGCACTCACCGTGATGGCACACTGGCCACCAAAGATTGAAAAAGAATTATGTTCACCATTTTCGGTGAGTAGAGATCGCACCGGAACATGACCCAATATGCGGAATGACTGGTCAATGGGTGATTTGCAACCATACAGGAGAATATCTGAGAAAAGGAAGAACATTCGTTGTTGGAGACCACGGCGGGAGTGTTTCAGCAGACAGCCTTGACGTATGAGGCGACGTTGACTTTGTACTAATTTATCGAAGCCTTGTACGTCACGTTGCAGCTCGCACAGGTGTATGAAATTCAGTGATTCGGGCATTAGATCGCGTATCTGTTTGGTGGTGCGGGATAACAGCTGATAGACAGCCTGACAGTCGGTTGAGTCCAGATGTTCTTCGGTATAGAAATCACAAAGTCCTGGAAAAGAGATAAAAAGAATTAGAATTTTGGTTTTATGGACGTGAAAGGCGAGAGGTATGGATCAGGTAGCCTAGGTACTTTAGACATCGTTATCGGTAACTAGGCGTTCTAAAATATAAAAATCTATATCTTGACCCTTCCACTCTCTCCCCTCATTCGATCGCTACTCACTTTCCAATATCAATTGATAGTGCAACATTCGCTGCAATGGCTTCATTAACAGCTCCCCAATCGGCAGATAACAGATCTTTTGCTGTTCAAATTCTTTATAGATTTGCTGGAAGCGATTATCCGTTTCATACATATCGTTGAGACACTGTAAAATCTCAGCGTGGGATTGAGCATATTCATCATAGATCGGCAGGACAGCCATATTGCGTAGCATAACATCACCAATACGATGACTGTCGTGAGTGCCACGACCCTCCCACAATACCAAACGATGTTCCAGATCACGCAAAAAGTTATTATGATGTTGAGCCATAGATTCCAACATTTGAAAGAGTGGCTGTAGATTTTCTACATCATCCTCGGATAGCTCTCTGCGGAAATTTGTATTCAATATTTCCAAATCTTTTTTGTAGGTCCGTTCACTCATCAGCAATTCCTTGGCAAGGAAATAGGATTTTTCGGTGGGCCATTTCTGTAAGGAGAAAAAAAATAAATTTCTTATAAAATATTTTATTTTTTTTTTAAATCTCAATTTTGACTTACCCTCTTCTTAGCTTCTACATCGCTATCACCGGTATTCATTGATCCACTGGTACTACCACCCACCGCTCCATTTGTATTGACTATGGCCGCCTGCCCCGTTGCCAATTCATGTCGCTTGGCATGTTGTATTTCCGCCTGTATAACATCATAGGTTCCTGCTTCGGACCGAGATAGTGATGAGGATTTATCTGAACCCAGTGTTGGATGCTCTCGTCGATCCAATGACATATTGCCATTGATGCCATGATAAACTTCTGGAAAATAAAATATTGAGCATTTTCGATTAGAAATTGAATAAAAATAGGTTTTTGGGTTAGGAGCAACAAATTAGAAACTCCATATATTTTTTTAGAAAAATTCTAAGTCTTTTATAACAAGATCCGCTGAAAATCTAAGATTTATCCATTTTATGTGAGATGATTTTAAGAATACCCATTGATCCACTACAATGAGTCTCACCGATCTTTTAAAAGAAGAGAATATGATAGACTATGAGAAGATCACTCGATCTTTTATAAGAAGATCAGACGATCTTAGAATATGATCGACTATGAGAAGATTTATCGATTTTTTTAAAGGAAGATCAGTCGACCGTCTATAAGAAGCCTAGACAATATTCTATAAGAAAATGAGGCGATCTTCTATAAAGAGATCAATCGATTTTTTATAAGATCTGTTGATTATATAAAAGAAAATCAGTCGATCTTCTGCCCGAAGATAATCGATTTTCTATAAGAAGATCAGTTGATGTTCTATAAAAAGATCAGACTATCTTCTACAAGAAGATCAGACGATCTTCTACAAGAAGATCAGAGAATCTTATATTCGAATATCAGTCGATCTTTCATAAGAAGATTACTCGATCTTCTATAATAGGATCAGACAATCTTCTATAGGAAGATTAGAATATCTTATATAAGAAGATCAGTCGATCTTCTATAAGAAGATCAGTCAATATTCTATAAGAAGATCAGTCGATATTCTATAAGAAGATCAGTCGATCTTCTATAAGAAGATCAGTCGATCTTCTATAAGAAGATCAGTCGATCTTCTATAAGAAGATCAGTCGATCTTCTATAAGAAGATCAGTCGATCTTCTATAAGAAGATCATTGGTCTTCTATAAGAAAATCAGTCGATCTTCCATAAGAAGATCAGTCGATCTTCCATAAGATGATCAGTCGATCTTCCATAAGAAGATCAGTTGATCTTCTATAAGAAGATCAGTCGATCGTCTATGAGAATATCAACATATTTTCTATAAGAAGATCAGCCGATCTTCTATAAGAAGATCAGTCGATCCTCTATAAGAAGTTATGTCGATCTTTTACAAAAAAAAAAAACAGTCGATCTCCTATATGAAGGTCTGTTGATCTTCTATATGAAAATCAGCCGTTTTTTTGTAAGGTAATCAGACCTATATGAAGATCTGACCATCATTCCATCAATGTTGATTTCCGTTGGGTATATGGATGATCTTTGATATACCTTTTATTGATGGAAGATCTGCATAAGATTTTGGAAGAACTGCGAAAGGTCTTGGGTCACGAAAAAGGCCTTCTGTGAACATAGGTATCTAAGAGGTTCCAGGATAGTAGAACTAAATAAGGACATCTGGAAATATAATTCCTTCAAGGCAGAGACTTGCAATTTAAAAAAATAGAAGTCCGACTTCAGGGCTTCTGTGGGAAGAGGCTTTGAGATGTTCCCCATGGGAAGAGAGCGTATGTGATGGGCACTACAAAGGCAAAAAGGTTATCCTATGTACAGAAGAATTTGTCTTCTACGTTTAGAAGTACCCTCAGAGATTTTTTTATAAATAATAGACGATATAGGAAAATTATGGAGGTAGAAGTTCTCAAGAAATTTTGTTTATGTAGAAGCCTTTTTAGCACTTCGAAGCTTCTTCTTATCTGGAAGCTATTTTCAGAAAATCCTTTGAATATCCGTTAGATGTCATCTTTACAAATAAGTCTTCTATGGACAGATCGGGTTTTTTTAAAGAATTGAACCTTTGAATATCCGGGTTTTCTTTACAAATAATATTTTTTTTTTAAGAATTGAACGTGAGGGTTTTAAAGAATATTTTTTCGAAGTTCTGCCAGAGCGTAGTTTTATCTAAACCATTTTTCCAATGACCGCCTGAGACGTGGATCGTGGTAAAGTATAGACTTTAAAAAAATATATTTTTGAAAGGATTCGAAAAGCATGGAGTTAAAAATAATATTTTTCTAAGGACCAGCAGAGACTATTAAAAAAATACTAAGTATGGGCATGACTTTGACTTGTAAAGAATATTATGTAAAGGTCCTCGAAGAGCGCATATTTTTAAAGATTTGTTTTTATAAATTTCCGTCAAGGACGAGGCTTTTTGTAAAGGTCCAACAGAGCGTGGATTTTGCAAAGGTCCACAGGAGTGAGGATTTTTTAATTGATCTCAAAGGATGGATTAAAAAAATTAGGTTGACCAGAGCTTGGATGTTTTAAAGAATAATTTCATAAGGAACGCCAACGATGTGGATTTTTAAAAAAATATATATTTTAAAGGTTGAGTATATTTTTTAAATCTCTCCAAGAGCGTTGATTTTTTCCATGAAACTTGGATCTAATATTACACGAAAGGATCGTGCTTTTTTTTACAGAATACTTTTCCGGAGGTTTTAAAGAATATTTTTCCAAACCACCTGCTAGGTGGTGTTTTATTGAGTGTTGAATACTTTAAGAAGCGCTATACTTAGAAGACATTCTTAAAGGTTTTCTTTGCCTTGAAGACCTTCCATAGTTCCTCTAGACCTAGACGCTCGTCCACATGACCGGATCTATAGCTCTTCCTGATATACCTTTATAGACCTTTAATATCGAAAAGGTTAGGTTAGGTTGGGGATGTACGGTTGTTGTAACAACCGTCCACTCGGAAACTATGTCCATTGTGATCATCCTTTATGTATAGGTATACCTATGAAGAAAAGAAAAAAGATTGTGGAAGAGTAGAGAGAAGAATAGGACGGAAGAGAGATTATTTTAGCCAAGTCAAGTTGTTGACAAAGCCTAGAATTTGGTTACAAAGTCTAGAATTTGGTTAGGGTCTATTTTAGAGAAGAAGACTAGATTATCAATTTCATGATATCCAAACTGTTTATGTCTTCTGCTAATCAGCGATGGACATTTGCAGAGGATGTGCTCAATTGTTTCCAGTTCTTCCTCGTCCTCACATAGACGACAGTAATCCTCTTCACTGGAGTCCCACTTAGAAGTGAGAGATCTAACTTTGCGGTGACAAATAATAATCCCCACAACGATTTTGATTTCCCTCTTGCTGTGATCCAGCAGCGAAGACGTTCTTTTGCGAGAGAATTCTGGCCAGATAGATTTAGAGATTCTGTAAGCAGGTTCCCTTAACCATCTGTTACCGACCACCTCGCAATGGAACGCACGGATTCTGCCAATGAAATAGCTGATGGAGGTATCACAGATCTCTCAATCATAAGACTGGACGACTGTGACCCCCCTCGAGCAAGCTCTTCGGCTATCTCATTCCCTTCAATATCGTTATGTCCTGGAACCCAGCATAGTCCAACTATTTGTCGTATATCATTCAGAGCGGTCTTACAATCATGAACTGCTTTCGAGTTTATAGTATGCGCCTTCACCGCTTTCAGGGCCGCCTGACTATCTACATAAATAGTCACCGGTCCCAACAATGTCGGCATTAAGTGTTTTTACTATCTCGGCCGCTTTCGTGATTGCGAGAATCTCTGCTTGAAAAACGCTACAGTCATTGTTGAGTTTATATGAGTTCTGTATACCTAATTCCCTACAGTAGGCGCCTGCACCAGTGCCTTCCTCCATCTTGGACCCGTCTGTGAAGATTGACAGGGAGCCACTAGTCCAGGATTCCCTAATAGGGAATTCAACTTTGATGTCATTAAAGTCCCTATGGGGGGGGATATAATCACTGATATGACTATCTCCCCTAAAAAGGTCATAACCTGGCGTTATGTTTAGGATGCTGGCATGACGATAGTTCAGCGATTTCAAGGGATCTGTTTCCCGGCGTCTCAGGGCACACCTGGCCGCCTGGAATTTGATCAGAATATCCAATGGTTGGAGATTCAAGATTGCATTCAAGGCTGCCTGTGGTGTGCTTCTTAATGCTCCGGTGATCAGAATTGAAGCCGATAGTTGTACTAAGTTCAGTTTTGTCAGCAGCTTCTTGTTGTTCACCCCCTGCCACCAGACAAGACAACCATAAGTAAGTATGGGTAAGACAATCCTCGTATACAAGCAGTGTATAATGCCGGGTCACTCCACTTAAAGTCACTCCACCAAGTGATGGCAAGCGGAAACTAGGAAATTTGTGTTTCCTAGTGAAGATCACCAGTTCGGTTTTAGTGGGGTTTACACCAAGACCTTTGGTGCAAGCCCAATTTGACAGAGTTGAAAGGGCACCCTCCAGGATGTCTGATATTGTTGTTATAAACTTACCCCCAACCAGCAAGACTACATCATCGGCATAGGCTACAACCTTTATGATGAGATGATTAAATTTCATAAGTATTTAATATCGAAAAACGACAAAACATTTTTTTTCATTAATGATTAATTTTTATTTATTTTCTTCTTCTTCTTTTTTCTCTGTGTTTTATTTTTCCATTTTTCAGTTTGTAGATTAATAAACGTTTTCGGTTTGTTTGGTTTTGGGGGATTTGATTAAATTGTTTTTGTTGTTGGTTTCTGTACTAGTTTCACTTGCATTCTTAACTGTTGTCCGTTTTTTTATTTTTAGTTGTTTTTTTTTTTTTTTTTTTTAGAATTTTAGTTTAGTTTTATTTCTTTTATATGAATTGTTTGCAGTTTTGTTTGCAGTTTTGTTTTAGTTTTTTTTAATATTTTTCTTGTTGCTGTTATTATTGATGTGGTTATTGGAAAAGTGGTTTAAAAAAAAATGTCACAAAGAATTTCAATCAAATTTGTAAAAGAATGTTCTGTTTGTTTTTCTACATGGAAAAAAAATATTTTGAAAATATATATTTTTTAAATTTTTTTTAATTTTTTTTAATTATTTTTTTGCTTTACTTAATAAATACTTAAAAATTTAATTAATTTGATTTTGTTTTTTTTTTCTTATATAATTTAAATTAAATTATTGACACTTAATTCTTTTGCTAATTAATTAATACTGATTTGCAATATAAATTTTAAATTAAATTATTTCAGAGGTTCGTGAAT